TCCCTATTTAGAGAGCATGTAGAGATGGTGTTAATTTTTACGCTATGATTCTGCTAGGCACAATGCGTTAGAAATTTGAAGAAACTCTGCTTTCTCCATCTCAAAAAATACATGTATCTGGGGCACTGCCCTTCAGATTTCAGAAATTCCTGTAATACGGTTTTAAAGACAAGTTAAAAATAACACTACATTTCCAGCAGCAAGATTTTAAGAATCAGATGTCACCCCACCTGACCTCAATTAAATCAGGCAGAATCTGCTGAAGCAGCTGGATGGGATCAAGCAGGGTGTGAAAATCTATATTCTAGCACTGGGCAGAAAAAAGAAGATCAGTTAGAAATTTCAGTGTGAAGCTGGTTCTGTATGAAGTGGAGAATTTCAAGTGTGAATGTGCGTATGTGTTCGTGCATGTGCTGGGGAGAGCAGGGTTGGCAAGGGAGACAGAGGAGAGCTTTGTGTTCAGTGCTTCCTCTGACACAGCTCAGCCTGCTCCCTATCTCCCAGCTTCACTTCTGAATGTGCAGGAACATGCGGTGGCTCCTTTTTCCCACCATCTTCATCATCCCTTGTACGCAACAGGTAAGCTCATTAAAAAGAAGAAAAAGATTTCTCCCTTCCTCACCCTGTCCTGGTTTGAAGCTTTTATTTGTTTAATGACAAAATAAATTTCAGAGAAGCAAATTCCTCCTGAAGAATAAGCAGCCATTCCCTACTCCTGAGTAAATTTCACTTGCAGCTTATTTACTGCATCAGTCTTGATTTTGGTGTTTTTTTCTCTCTAATCTGTACTTTAATATGATTTGGTGGAAGAAAAAGTGTTAGGGAAGCTTAAATTGTCAGTGACCTTGCTTTTTTTTATAATATATAAGCACAAATGGTTATCTGATGCAGTAAGAAAGTAAACATCTTGTCCATGCTCATATTCCATATATATATATATATGTATATATACACAGTGGTCTGACTTCAGGCTAGTTTTACAAATGAGAAAGCCACCTGGGCTGTGTTATACTTTGTCTCTCACGAGAAAATTTTAAGTGATAGCTTTTGCTGAAGGTATTTGTGTCAAAGGCCAATTTCATTATTTCTTTACCTAATTTTGAAAATATGCTTTATGTGTACACAGTGTATTTTTCCTTTACGATCAAGATGAATGTCAAATGGAGAATTTTCAAATGGCTGTTGTCCTCTGCTAACTTTCTGCATGTTTAAAACCAGACTAAGATAACTGAACTTCAGCAATAATACATTGCCTACTTCTGCTATTTGCTTATTTACGCCATACAGACCTTAGCCAGTCTTTAAAACGTAAGAAAACAAACAACAACACATGAAGTGCTGCTGTACAATGGTCTCATTTTCTGATCTGCCCATAGGATCAGGAAAAGTATGCAGTGGGTTGTGTGATGTGGATAGCGTTGGTATAGAAACTTTGGGAAGCAAAGATTAGAAAATATTCGGCCTCGAAACTTTACAGGCAAACTTTAAATTTTCCTTGTAACTTAACAGATTTTTGAAGATTTTTTAGGTATACCAAGCTTCTCAGTGATTCCACAGTTAAAACTGTAAGATATTTGCCTGATGGTGTTTTTGATATTGGAAAACTTGTAGTCTCCTACCTTTCAGCTGACATCTTTCCATTAAAAAAAAGGAGAGAAAAATCACTTGCTCAGATAGAATTCTGTAGGTTTAAACCACATTTTAATTTGTCATACAAATTAAACGTTACTGGTCAAAGTACACAGGTTATTTCCTGTGACACAGACCCATTTTGAAATGCGATTTCTGATTTAAGCCACATAACCTCATATAGCTGGCATGCGTCCAAATTCTTAACAGTAACACTCTGCTTAAAAAGAAAAAAAAGCAGCACAAAAGTATTTCCTAAAGCAACCATACAGTCTTGAGCACTTCTAAATACACAGGAACACCTGCGTGTCTTGTTTCCAGAACAAGCCTTTTAAGAAGCTTTGCACTCCATTGCACATGTTCATCAACTTAAAATTGTGGTTTATAGGAAATGCTTAGCTGCTTTAAAAAAGTATACTTAATTTCACCATTTCCATGTTATTGCTGCATTTAGGTAAAAAGGATTAGAAGAAATCCTTTATCAGCAAATGATTAATAAAACAACACATTTAGGAAACTATCTTCTGCATGCTACACAGAATACCACATGACATTCTTTAATATTCATTTATTATATGAATTGCTTCTGTGAATTAATATATATCTTAAAAATCATTCAGCCAAAAGAACTTGAAAGCTACTACTTTGGAACTTCATTAGTAGCTGTGGATTAAGATACTCTAAGTATAGTTGTAAATGACCATGAAAAATGGAAATCAGTGGTAGAAAAAAGCCTTTTAAAAGGTCATTTACTGCTGCATATGGTTAGGCCAGCTTAATTATGCTGCAAGAGCTGTCATGTGATATGACATATGAAATGCTGAATTCTGCAGATACTTCCAGTTTGAAAGTTGAGCTGAAAGGCAAGCCAGCCGGACCACCCCTTCCCCAGCTTTCCTGTAGCGTCTCTGCCAGAGGTTGTTTCGACCCCAGCAGAGCCCTGCAGCTTGGAGGAACAGAGAGAAATGGATCGGTGTGCCTGCGTGGGCCCAGAAAAAATCTGTATTTTTTTCTTCTTTATGCAAGCTAGATGGTGATACCGGCACCTGATGAGGGACTGGATCTTGCCTTTCCCTCTTGCTTTTTGGGCAGTGCTGCTCCTATCGAGCAGCCTCGCATTGTCCTGGTGACCCGCGATGAAGAACCGCATCACGATCTGCAGTTCTGCTGAAATCGGCAGCACAAACAGATTTAATGCTAGGATCTGAACTGCTATGTTTTAGATGTAGTTCTTCACAAACACGGACAAAATATAGCTATAATCTCGAACAAATCCTTTCTCACTCTGTGCTGACCTAATCTTCCCCCATGTCTCAGAAAAATAAACCCATCAAGAATTACTTAGGACTTCCTTTTCTGAAAAACAGAAAGAAAAAAAATCAAAGTCATGAATTCTGAGACAGAATGTGGAAAACTAAATTCTGGCTAGATCTTGACTTCCTACTGCTGATGCAAATCTCTTTTAGAGATTTGCCTTTGCCCTGTAAGCCCTGGATTCAATGAACGCTCATGCAAATAGATACGCTCTGACCTATCAAGCTCAGGGCAACTACTAGCCTCCCTTATTACTCACAAGATTCCATTTTTGCATCTAGCACAAATACAATAATACTCCTTCCCAAACAGCTACTTAATTTTTTTGAGCCAAAGTAAGACTCAGAGTAGTTCACTGGTTTAGAAGGTGTTTGCCACCAGAAGAGGCCACAGGGCAGTGGCTGGCTATCAACCAGCGGGAGGAACAAAAAGCTAATTAATTTGATAGATTTGTGGGAAGGAATATCTAAAATATATCCACCGTCTACTTTAAAACACTTTTTTCCTACTTGAGCTCTACTACAGGTTTTGTTCTATTGAAGGCAAAGGAAAGACCAACGAATGGCATTTGAAACAAGCAGCAGGCCATGTCCACTGGTGGAACGACACCTCAGCGCATGGCAGTGACTGATGAAACCGATCTTCTGTCTCCTAGCTAAACCTCACAGCCTCTCACTTTTTGGATCCTGTGACATGAGAAACGTTAAGGTCTTCATGCAACTTCAGAGTTTTACCCATCCCAGCTTCGTTTTATGCTATCTTAGCTATGCGCAATGCATTCGGCTCTCAAATGTCCCACTGCATGTAAGTTTTTCCACAGCCCACCAGCGAAGCCTGAAGAAAAACCTTCGGAAAGCGGTGAAGTCCACCAGCGCGAGGAGCTCTGCCACTGGCCGTGCAGATGCCCACCTGTGCCAGCCTGCACCCCCGGGGTAAGCCTGGTGAAGGACGGCTGCGGCTGCTGCAAGGTCTGCGCCAAGCAGTCGGGAGAGAGCTGCAACGAAGCAGACATCTGCGACCCCCACAAAGGCCTCTACTGCGACTACTCGGCAGACGAGCCTAGGTATGAAACAGGCGTGTGTGCACGTAAGTCCTTCTTCCACGTTCCCTTCTTGCAATCCAGGAGGGTGGGACCACGCGGGTGAATGGTTTTGGAGGAGAACTTGCCTGGCTCTGTGCTAGGCGATTACACCGATTCACACTTGGACTGCTCAGACAGAAGATCTGAGAGCAGGGCAGGGACTGTCCTTAAATCCACCTGCGTGTGGGTTAGCGCAGCCTGCTCACTGCGCACAAGCCTGTTCCCTGCAGACGTGTTGATGGCTGATTCCAAGTCAGGCGGCTGTAGTTATCGTTGGGCAGAAATAAAAAAAGATGCGCTTGGGCTGGGAAGAACTCAAAGTTGTGGATGCAGTAAAGGCTGATTGCATTTTAGCACTCTAAGCAGGAACCGCGTGCTCCTGCTGTGTTAGTAACTGTTATTTACTGTTTCCAGATCTGGTAGCTGTAGGATGTGAGCTCAATGGAGTTCATTACCTTAACGGGCAGCCCTTCCAGCCCAGCCCGCTTTATAAGTGCCTGTGCGTCAGCGGTGCAATCGGCTGTACGCCTGTATTCACACCGAGATTGGCAGCGAGTCCCTGCCCCAGGGCCACGGGCAGCAAGAAGCCTGGACAGCCCACCTGCGGCCCTGGACAGCACAAGCGGCTTCAGTCAACAGACTACAGACTGCTGTCGGGTGTGCCTGGCGATGCTGGTAAACTTCTCTGTACGTCAGCCTTGCTGCAGTTCGTGTCCCCGGCTCCGGCAGGCAGCGCGCTGGCAACCTCTCAGCTCTTGCTGGAGACCATTGCCAGGGTGACGGGTCTGCGCCAATTACCCCTCTTACTCTTAGGTCACAGACTCTTTTCTCTAAACCTGATGAATGGGAAAAGCAAAAAGCCTTTTGGCTTCTGTCACCGGGGAGTTGGCCAAAGCTACCTTCAGCCCATCTTTCTGCAGAGGTTTACTCCTCGTCAGATCAGACCAATTAGGGTTGCTGGCGGACAGCCGTTTCGCAGCTCGGGAGCCGTCTCGCTTTCTCCTGCTTTATGGCAGTAGGGAGTCTTGGTTTTCACACACGTACATTAACACGTTGCAGCCCTCTTCTTTTCGACAGAAAGCAGAAAATTACAAAGACCGCCTTACAGCTTTAACCAATTCACGAAATTCCCGGTCCCTGCAAGGACAACCCTCCCCCAATTCCTTCTCTGTTCAGTCTGATCAAAGCCATACAGCAGCTGCCCAGGCAGTTCTGCCAGGCTCGGCCAATGTTCCCTTTCACCTCGCTCTTGCTCTGCTGCTAACTCTGTAGTTCTCTTTGCCACTTTAAGGAAGCACCATTGCCAGAAGAGGCCATCCCGGCCCTCCCCTGGCCACAGGGGCTGCCTCTTTCCCCGTGCAAGTTCCCATAGTGAAACTCACCTTCCAGACAACTAATGTGGGTGCCAGAAAGCTGAGCCGTTTACTTGGTGGCGACTTGAATTACGGGGAAATTATAGCCTGAATCAGCATCATGGATCAATAAAACAAAAATGAAACGATCGTACAGCTTAACAGAAAACCTTCATAAAAGACGGCTGAGTAAATAAGTCAATCTTCAGATAAATAGACCAGCTCACAAAAATCTGAAATTCAGTTTGGACAACTTCTAACACATTAGCAGTGGTTATGCAAGTTAGCAAAAAGAAAAAAAGCAGCTCATCTTTACTTCAAAATTATGATAGAATACCTATAACTAGTATCAAAGCCTTTTTACAGAAATATACTTAATGCTGTATATAAAAACACACTCGGTAAGGCAACTGACTTCAGAGGAAGAGAGCCTTCATTTCTAGAGAACGTTGCTAAACTGATCAGGGAGAGAAGAAAACACCGCATTGAAAATAATGGCAACCAAACCACCTGACCCCATGAAATATATTAATTGGGTTTGTGGGTATTTCAGACACCTGGAGAACAGCCTTCAGCCATTTACTTTGTAGCATTTCAGTGGATCCAGAAGCTGAAGACCAACTTTCAGCAACTCCTTTGATGAGTAGACTGCAATGCTGCATCTCATGGGATTTATTCAGAAATTTGAGTCAACCGCACGACACAAGCCTGAGAAAAGACAGTCAGCTTGCAAAGCACACTTCCTGCTTGCCTTGGTTCAGGGACCCCACAGCCTGTCCCTGTGGTGGCTGAACGTGCTGAAGGATGCTGTAATTCAGGTTATACAAACCCACTCAATTGTTCCTTCTCCAAGACGCAGCTGGTGGAGAAGGACAGCTAACTAGGACACGCTAGTGGCATGGCTATTCCAGCCAGATTCCCAGAGCTACCATCAGCTGAGCTGCATCAAGACAACAAAACTGAAGCTCTGGGCCAAAGCAGGTGTTTGAAAATAGCAAACAACACAGAACATGAAGAACTACGAATGTGCAAACCCCCCGAAAGAAGGCTGTCTCCCTCTGAAGAAAAGCACCTGGGAATTTTGTTGGAGCTATTCCCCCTTCCCCTTCCCAGGGCAGCAGAAGTACCACGTCAGCTTGTGCATGAAGGGCACGAATGGCTCAAAGCTCCAATACCTGTTCTGAAACATCTTTTTTTCCTGTTAGTGAGGCTAACAAGTGCTAAGTTTCACTTTACTGCTCTTGCTTTGTTTTCTGGCTTTCCTTGTCAATTCTATTTACCTAATTTAGATACAGAGGGATGTACATAGGCCACACTAAACACACACCAAGTATAAACAACCATTTAACTTCCTTTTATTTGTTGCAGATCTGTGACAGGCTTTTAATCTGCTTGCTGCAATGAGACCTTTAAATTGCTGTCTACTTCCCAGGTATCCTTGTAATTCTGCCTGTGCTCTTACCTAAACGCACAGATTCCGGGTAGTTTTATTTGCAGAGTTTCACCATGAACTTTTGCACTGCAATTTTGTTTCTTTTTTTAAAATGTACTCCATCTAACCCAGCCCAAATCCATCAGAAAATAGGCCTTTTGGTGATATCTAGAAGTGACTGGAGAATTTCACTCCTCAAAACAAAACCCAAAGCCTTCACAATACCTATAAGGAAACCAACATTAATGTTTTCAGCAGCCCTTTTTAAGCTATGCTTGGCCTGAAACGTTTCTCAATGTCTCTTCTGTTCTGGACATTTCATAAAAATTCCACAAAACTCTCTTCACATATCATTTTCATCCCATTAAACTGGAGGGCCACACAACAGATGCAATTTCACAGTCCTTGCTAGGATCCGAGTATCCTGTGCCAGCAAACTTCAGCAGCAGCTCAGCCCTAAGGCTTTTGCATAACTTTGTTTATGCCTCATTTTTAGATTTAACTATGAAAGCATCTTCATGAGCAGTAATCAAACATTTGCCCTTTTATTTTCAATTAAGCATTTTGGGGCTGTTCTGCTGCATAAGTAATATATTGCTGTCTTAGCTTACAGAAGCTTACCGCTAGTTTTGAAAAAGAAGTGCCTGGTGCAGGCAACTCCTTGGACACCCTGTTCCAGGACCTGTGGCATTGGCATATCCATCAGAGTGACCAACGACAACACAAAATGTGAAATGAAAAAAGAAAAGAGATTATGCTTCATCCAGCCTTGTCTGACCAATATACTGAAGACAATAAAGGTACACTCTAATATAAAATTATTTCCTAATAGAAAATAGAAATATTGGAAGTAATGGAAAAAAATTGATACGTTAGCAACTACTAGTAAAAAATGATTCCTTCTTTTTTAAAGAGTTTTAAAATAATTCATCTTTGTTTTCTGCCTTCAGTCTTCAGGTTTCAGTAGTAAACTACAGATGTGTAACTTCCAGCAAAACAATACAATGTCCTCAAATATGAGTGGTGCTAGTGCTGTCCTGGTGCTCAGTCATTTAGAAAGTATTTTCTATTTGTTGACTGACAAAAATAAGACAGCTTTTAGAAGAAGTAATTTTCAAGGTATTTCTATGTAAACCTTGCAGTTTTTTCTTACATGTTCCATTTCCCATGTATAAACACTCAGGCTTTTCTTTGTTTTTATATCAAAGATTCCAAAAGGAAAAACATGTCAGCCGACATTCCAGCTTCCTGCAGCAGAGAAACTAGTTTTTTCTGGATGCTCCACGACACAAAGCTACAAACTGACTTTCTGCGGGGCGTGCTTGGACAAGAGGTGCTGCGTACCTAACAAGTCCAAAATGATCACAGTGCAGTTTGAGTGTCCCAATGAAGGCGCCTTTAATTGGAAGATGATGTGGATAACATCGTGCGTATGTCAGAGGATCTGCAGTGCTCCGGGAGACATATTTTCTGAACTCAAAGTTTTATGACAAGTTACACCATTGACTGTAACGTACTGCAAGTGCAACAGCACAGTCACACCCTGAAGAGTCAGCATCATCCCTTGCCACAGCAATGTTTATTGTGAAACTACATATGTGAATATTTTTTTTTTTAATTAGCACGTGGAAAATGCACATCTTTTTAAACCTAATTGTTTTTATATGTGGAAGTACATTCTTGAGAAGGATGTATATAATACCAATATTGACAAAGCAAGAACTTCTGGAAATTAAAAAAGGCACAGCAAGACAGCTTCGTACCCCACTGTAACAAGCTGCTGCCCACAAAGACAAAATACATGTAAATTCATAGGTGCTCTGACCAACCTAATGGAAAAAACCCCATTACTCCGTAATGCTTCATCTATCATTCTTGATTCTCAAATTAACATTTTCTACTATGTATCTGCACCGGCAAAACACATCAATGCTGCTTCAAATTTTAAGCTCAGATTGCTTTTTGCAGCAGATAATCTTTCTCTGGTGTTGTGAATATAAACAATGCACTCGTAAAGGAACAAATAAGAACTTCAAAATTTGAAGGAAACTACTACTTCTAGAATGTTTGCTTAAAAAAAAATGCTCTCAACAAATGTGATCACAATGTTTTATTGAATACTTCTGGACTTTAACATTTAAAACACCCACTCCAACCCTGCTAGAAGCACTTCAAGCTTTAAGAAATCATTGTATTGATCCATTCTGATTTGTAACAATTCGCAGGTCTGGCTGTTCTACGACAGCCAAGGCTGGCAAGCAACTGGAAACAGCTGTACAGTCTATTTTGTAAAACTGCTTAATGTAATATAAAAATCTACTTATCCCGGTAATTAAAAATATTAAAACATCTGTTTCATTTGCATTCTTTGAAGCCTATCAACTTTGTTCTCCAAACAGTCATAATTTCATTACAAGTGCATGTTTTGCTCAGAGGTATATTGCGTTATCTCATTATCAAGTGCAACTCAGCATTCATGAATATAAATAATTAAAATATGTTAATTAATACTCCAAGTATAATACTTGAAACAAAACGTACTTTGTTGAATTTTCTGGTATTGCCAATTTTGATATCAACTCGGAATGCTCTAACATAGCTAAGTACAATATGGAAGCAAAAACATTAAAACCATGAACATAACTTAGAGCATTCTGAAACGACTACTATCCTGCAAAGTTTAAGAAACCAGTTTCACTGAAGACTTGCTTTCATCTTTGAAAAGACTATGCAGGCTTTTCTTCTCATCATAGTTGCTTGTTAAAAAACAAATCTAGCAGAGGTGACCCTTCTTTGAAGCAAGGCCTGCCTTTAGTTTACCGTAAGCTGAACGTCTGAGAAGAGAACTACATTTTTGGCTGCTACAACCTCTCTTTCTTCTCTTTACAGCATATGGTATGTCAATTTACTCTACAATTCGGAAGTCTGCTTTTACTGGTATCTGCCATAATTAGGTGCCTTCGAACCTTTCTTATGGGCCAGGCCTGTCACTCAATATGATACCTCTCAGAGCTGCGGAAGCCCTTGTCCCAGTCTCACTTTGGAATTACAATAGCTAGGCACGCTGCAATTCATTCTGGTTAACTGAAGTGGTTGGATGCTTGGGCAAAGTTGTGGTTTTTTAAAGTATCAGTTCTTCCTTCTTTAAACAGCTATCTTCAGTCTTGATGGATCTGTTCTAGGCCCACCTTTTGTGGCATCCAGTTCATTGTACTCTTCTATTAGGTCAGACAAAGACGATATGGCTTCAGAAAAACAGCTTTGCTCCATCCCATCTATATGCAGATAATGGTGAAGGTGAGCCTATGAGAATAAAAAAAAAAAAATTCAGTGTTATTCTTTTTCTTGGCACCTAATTTCTTTGGCTCAGTAAGTGCCATTTAGCCTGCACTGAAGACAGGACTGCAAATACTGTAGAATGTAGATTTGAAGATGTGTATCATGACATCCTTTGTTTAAATACTTGGCAACTTTAGTAACAATCCCCTATGGAATCACAGTCAACTTACACATTGATCTCTTCACATTCTATCTTCTTGTGTACATCTGATCAAACTGTGTATTGGATTTATGCAGCAAGGTTTTAGTAGTGGGGGGAAACATGGGGCTGCAGGAGGCTTTTGTAAGAAGATACCAGGAGCTGTCCCCATGTCAGACAGAGCCAGCTCCAGCCGGCTCCAATGCGAACCTGCCCCTGGCCAAAGCTGAGCCCATCACCAGTGTTGACAGTGCCTCTCAGATGACATATTTAAGGAAGGGTAAAAAATACTGCACAACAGCTGTGAGAGAGGAGTCAGAAAAATGGGAGAGAAACAGCCCCACAGACACCAAGATCAGCAAAGAAGGAGCAGGAGTGAAACGGAACCTGGGAAGAAGGGTGTGGGGTGAGGTGAAGGTGTTTTCAGTTTTGGTTTTATTTCTTGCTATCCTACTCTGTTATTAATTGGCAATAAATTACATTAATATTCCCCAAGTCAAGTCTGTTCTGCCCATGGCAGTAACCGGTGAGTGATCTCGCTGTCCTTATTCTGACCCATGAGTTATTCATTGTACTTTCGAAGGGTGTGAGGAGGGGGAGTGAGAGAGCATCTGGGTGGGCATATGGCAGCCAGCCAAGGCCAACCCACCACAAACTGGTAGACTGATCTGTCAGACACTGCTGCGTTGATGAAGAAAATAAGTATATTGCCGAGTAAGTACAGATTAATAAGGGGTTTACACTTTTTAAGCAGCAGCTTGCTGGAATGACTCCTGGATAGGTAACAAATAATCTTGGGCTGTTACTTTTAAGCAGTCCCGTTGTGATACTAAGATTTGCTTCCCAATAATGCAAGATGCTAATGATTAGTGGCTACAGATGTTATAATGATAAAAGCTGTACCTTCTTCTTGTAGAGCTTCATAAATCTGTCTTTGAGTTCAATGAAAGTCGGTTTTACACAAGTGTTGTTTGCTAAAGCCAGAAGGGAATGGGAATGGCCCACCGGAGGTACTGAACACAAACCAGTTTTCCAGCCCTCTTGATTCCAGGAGACAAAGTGCAGGGAAGGCTTCAACCTGTGATACAAAAATTTAGGACACAAAGAACACAAAGCTTAAGTTTCCTTTGCTAACAAACAGTCTGAAATGGTCAACATTCAAGCTTTCAGAAATATGCAAGCCAGTTACAACTATCATTTTGAATACAACATTTTAGATTTCAGACTAAAACACTGTGTCTATTTTAAACTTAAATTGCAAACACCAATTTAATTTTTGTTAATTTAATATATCAGGGTTTGAGAAGTAAAGTTACAAGCACCTATTTCTATAGAAGGGACTGAAAGCACTCAGATTTAGGAGGGGGGCAGATTAATACTGTGTGAGGACAATCAGTCTACTTGTAGTTTAGAAATAAGTAAAATGCTTTAGATTCTCAGAAACTCTCCCCACGTACCCCTGTTTGCCTGTAAACTTCATTCTCTACGCAAAGCTTCCTGCCTTCCCTGTTACAACTATGTAGATCAATAGCATAAAAGGTAAAAACAGAGTTCTAAAAATGCAGAGTTGTTAAAATGAGGATGATTTGCTATTTACATGAAAGTAACCATGCAAGAGAGGGGCCTTCCATTCCGCAAGAACAAACTTCTACTACAGAACTTCATGCCCCAACATGCTTTACTGGCAGAAGACCTCTGGAAGGTCAGCCTTTGCTTTCTTCTGCATTTTTCAGAATGAGAGGAACAGCACACGGACATCTGGTGAGCCCTCTTTATTTGGAAGTCCAAGAATATTGTGACATATTCTAACTCATTAGGTACATTTATTACATTTTCTTCCCTTCAGAAATTAAGAAAAATATTTCTGAGTAAACTGATTTGGTATTGAAATTCTTCAAGTTAAAAGTGACAGTGCTGTGGACACCTGACAACAGTTTCAGTGACAAATACCACGATATCCTTTGTATACAAATACAATATACTTTGTGTATTACAAACCTTTCAATATTTCTACGAAGGTCTGAAACCTGCACATTTCCTCGAACGAGAAGTGCACAGGCAAGGTAGAGGCTATGCTTCGGATCTGCTTGAATTAGCTGATGATCTCTACTAAAAGCATCTGAAAACATCTGATCCAACCTAGTAAAAAAAAAAAAACAGAGTTTAGTAAGAACTAAAGCAGGCTAAAAAAGTTCCTCAGAATGCCCATCTTCAGGGTTTAAAAGTTCATAAAATTCTAGAGATAAAGGTACACTTAACCTAGGACCATGAATGACAGGAAAAAGATTCAAACCTTTATGTGTACATATGTTGGCACTAGAAGGTCTTTAAAACACACAAGATTAATCATTCCCCTCTTTTCTCCCTCATGCTACAAGCCACTCTTGAGTCTAAAGTCAGAGAAGTGGACAGACCTTTATTACAGCAATTTTAGGTCAATGGTTACAAAGTACTAAAAATATGTAAAAGGATTTAAGTACCTGAGGTTCTGGTTGTATGACAATTTGAGTGGACAATCTCACTGCTTGTGAAGGATCTGACAAGGAATAACGAAGTGCTGCTGACCCTTACAGAACTGATTATCTGCCTGTTCATTATTTAAAAGAATCAATGAATTATAGAATTGGATTAATTTTGATTAATGATTTAGGAAAAGACAGACTATACATACTTGTCTACTTATTCTAATTTTATCACGTATGACTGCTTTAAATGATGACACTGCAGATCATATTCTTTCTTCACTTTCTTCCTTAAGCAAGTTCCACTGTACTGTGGGCTATCAAAGATGGTGTCTTGAGGAGGTTTCTACAGACCCGTAACATCAAAGCTATTCTTTCCGTTTGTTTCAAACTTTCTGCACCTATCATCTCTCTTTTTTTTTAAATCACCTCTGCCATAATCTGCCTATTAAAAAAGAAACTAAATAAATGAGACAAAAATATTACCATCTGAAACACGACTGACTGAGCATCTCCCCATAGTCTGCTACCTTCCCTCCAGCACTGTATTGTCTCCTCAGGGTATGGTTTCAAGAGACTGAACTTGTCACAACTTGCTATCACAGAATAGATGTGGTCTTGCCCTCTTCTCCACTTTGCATACTTCCATCTCTTACCATTAACTACCTCTATCACCATTCAGACCTCTTGCTGACTGAACTTAATTTACTAAAACCAGTGAAACCTATTTTAACTGGTTATTTTCTGCCTTGTCAGTGGGATAAATCATCTCACAAAATTTGACAAGTGTCAGCTTATTGTTACAATAAGCTGTTAAATAGGCTCACTGCATCCCCAGACTGAAGTAAGACGCCATTACTTCCCAAGGAGTCTAGTTTAATTCCTTGTTTGTCTTTACAGTATTTGTAAGTCAACCACAAACTGTTACTCAAAAGAACTTACAGAGAAAATGGAAAAATGATGTGCCTAAAATCAGCAGGACGAATTTGAAAATGTAGCAGACAAAACTTTTAAAACTTATGCTCTTAGTTTTGCTATAGAATTATTTTTTTTTTTAATGAAAACTATGGAGGAATCAGAAATTAAGCTTCAAATGTAAAGCTGCCATAATATTCTTTTCTTACCTTCTAGATAGTACATTAACATCGGCCAATGTATACAAAGGAGTCAAGCTTGAAACCAAGTAATGAAGTCGAGGAAATGGAACCAAATTCATGCTGATTTCATTAAGATCCATGTTAAGGGAACCTTCAAACCTAGCAGAGCTGGCAAATTAACAAACTGTTTTAAAACTGTTATAAAATAAGTAAATTACTTTTATAATATAAACATTCATTAAACCTATTTTTCAACTGTTCTCTACAATAAAACAGTAAAGCACAGCATTCAAGAAACTCTTCATGTACCATTACTAAACTTTCACATTTGGCAGTAACAGTGCTACATCTTATTTACTTACACTTCTCATTATAGAACAATGCATCGTCAAGAATGAGACCTTGTTTCCCCGACTGTAGTCTTTAGCACTGTTTTTCAGTATGTGGACATAGCTGCCGAATACCAGTTTTAATAAATACTCTATAATAAACACATGCCTGACTTAGCATTCCTGACAAGCTGGTTAAAAGCAGGCCAATACTCCAGAAGTATATTTCACCAGGAGTTTCTTAAACTGGACAGTTTATGAGCAAGAATGATCTGACAGTATTTATAAAATAATACAACTGAGCTACAAAGGCAAGCCTCCCTGGGCTCTGTTAAGCCTTAATGGGAGACAATAATCCTGCCTATAAACTTTTTCTTACTTCAGTTCTAAGACTACCATGCTAGAGCAATACCACTGCAATCTGCATATTTCCAAATACTTTAACATTTAGTAACTAATTCTTAAAAAGAGAAGACTCATATCAAATGGAAAACAATTAACATTCTTTGAGTTGATGCAGGCCTGCGTATCTGCAGCACACACCGCCTCCAGCAATACTACTTTTACAGAAGAATAACCTATAACTTTACCTTGTCAGGTTCAGCAATAAGTTGGCTACAATATTATTCATGGCGTCAAATGGCTTCTGTTGTACAGTTTTTGCACTGCCTGCACTTGATGTTACCAAGCTGTTTTGCTTCACAGTTGACCCTAGCTTCCCAGAACTGGTCATCTGATGAATTTTATTAACTATATCAAACAGAGACTTTGAGAAAGAAAAAAGAAGCATACCAGAATCTTGAGCACAGAGCTTTCGAATTCAGTCCCTCAATTTTTCATTTCAATTAATCTTCAAGAAAAAGCTAAAACATGGTACTGTCTGTTCAAACATTATAGCTTTGATGCATGTACGACCAATTCCCAATTGACTGAGGAGTTTCTAAAAGTCTGTTCCTTACATGTCAAACAGGTACACAGTTTGACTCAGAAGTTTGAATTTTATTCAACTATGCAAAATCCTCATAATCTAAAATTACATTTTAAGGTCTCTTAATTCCTGTGAAAGCAAAAATATATTCCACTTTCTCTTGCTTTTTTCATAAGTAAACAGCAAGAGAGTCATCGAAGTTAGACTCAAATGAGTCTGGTGGTTTGCGTGGTCAGGTATGCCTGATGCCCATATCACTAATGAGTAAAGTCAAGTCTGTTGGAATTTGGAGTGGTTAGTCCATTGCAGGACCCTACTAATACTGCACACAAACCAATTGCTAAAAGAATGTAAGACTCTCAGCCTCCGCAAATAGAAGCTTTTCACTGTTTATCTTGAAATAGACATGAGAAAAATCACTCTAGACTACTTCCAAGGTGCACAGCAGCTGTTTAGTGATATTAGCATATTAATTTCAAAAGCCTGCAAGTGACTTAGGAGTTCAATTATTACTTTAAAAAATGAAATTATGCTTTTTAAGACTTAGTACTCCAATCAATACACAGAGGGAAGAAACACTTCCTATGTGCCGTGTAATAAAAAAAGATACTGACAGAAATAGAGTATTATTTCTTACTTCATTCTCTATTGGTAGTACACAGTCTGCATGTTCATTAAGCTCCTTCATAGCCAGAACACTGTTATATGGAGAAGTAATAACATCATCTTCACCAGACGGATAAACTGAAGTAACAAATCTATATACTTCTGGGAATTCATCCTCAAGCAAATTTAGTACAAAAGTTCCAAGACCAGATCCTGTCCCTAATCATGAAGACAGAACGAGAGAAGATAAAAGGTTCCCCATATTATTGTAAGCCTTAGTCTCATACGTTGGGAACATACAACTTTTCAGTTCTACATACTAATGAATATTTTCTGAAGCATTTGGCTGACAGTGGAGGCTACTCAGATGTAAATTAAGGCAGGAAGGTTTTTCCCAGACAGGAAGATAATTCTGTGCTAAAAGTATTTTCCAAAGTATACCAGACAGGATGAAGTATACAATCTCAAATATTTCTGCAATCCAAAAAATCTTCTTAGGTACCCAACGTTTTTCTGCTTTAGTATTTTTATTTATTTTAATATCTTTAATTTGAATTTTGAAATAAAACATTTGTTTAAAAACACTGAACTGCCCTAAACAATTGTTTTCTTTCCTTTTGGGTTTCTTTATAAAGTTTTCTCATTCTCCAGTCAAAACAGAATAACCCCTTTCCCCCAGCACACACACTTTTTTCCTGAGCACTGAGTTCAAATCAGAGAACTGAACTGTGTTTTTTTCTGCCTTGGACAACTAACTTTCTCAGCAGCAGACAATTTCATCTATGAACAAGACAGCAATTTTCTGCAATAATGGAAACAATATCTGCAGGGTCTCTCAAATTAAACAAACGGCCACGAAAAAAGGCCCTTGACAAAACTCTTCCTTTGTATTCAGAGCTATTTCCTGCGTCTTTTTCCACATCCTAATCAGTTATAATACACACTCCTGCCACGTTTCTGGAGAAGGAAGGCTTAGTGGCAATACAGTAATGACAAAATTGTCACTGCAAAGGATTCTTCCTTCTGATTTATTAATAAAGTAGCTAGACCAGATTAAAGACAATTATATGGAAGGAAAATAGAAAAAAACTGTTTTTCTAAAGTTCATAAACATTACAAGTCTCCTTCAAAACCTTTCAGAAAACTATTTCCCCACGATTAAAAACAACTTGATTACAACAATGATGTCAGTGTTCTGAGGCCACTGTCCCTTCTGATCAGTAATATTTCAGTGTGTCCTTGTATTCGGTACCTGTCTTGATCCACCCACTGCCTCGTATTTAAAATTGTAGCCGTATTTTCGTTCTAGGTAGTGCTTACCTTAGCCCATGATTAGGGCTGCTCAGTGCTCTAAAACAAATAATAAATAATTACACTTAATTGGACAGTGTTAATTTTTTTTATTCTGCATTCTGAATGGTGCACATTATTACATTGATCTTTTTTTCCAAGACCCAGGTTTTTCTTTTTCACCAGTGGCTGGTGCAATCATACTAACCGTAAAACAAAAAACAAACAACAACAAAAAAAAAACAACTTACCACCACCCATAGAATGAATTATAAAAAAACACTGTAGACAGTCACAGTGTTCTGCGGTTTTCCTCAGCTTTTCCACAATGTTTTCCCGGTACTGACAGCCATATAGCTTATGACCTACAGCCCTGAAAATATGAAAAGTACTTTGAAAAAAAATTCAACAATCAGTCTTTCAGTTTTTTATTTGGACTCCTCTTTTGATCTTTTAGAGTTCAGAGTCCACAGCTGGGTGCAACACCTAATTTGTGAGAGTTGCTAAGCTGTGGCTACATCACATGAACATGGGAGTTGAGATACAGTTTTAATTTGGAGGATGCAAGCAGCACTAAGTTCACAGCTTTGGAGTGTGCACTGTTCTTTTGTACTGATAAGGAAACAAACTCCCATGCTGGATGATCACGTTAATTACGAAATGGAAGTTACACACTCCTTAACAACAAGGATATCCCTACGTAATACATGTGCTGATCTTCATTTCAGTACTATGCAAGTCAGTTGCTACCAGTAACAAAAAAACCTCAAACAGCTTACTTTCAACACACTTGCCCCGTAGATGGTAAAGTTACAGGATACTTTACTCCCTGTATTGCACTCTCTTTCGGTACATTTGCTGATGATTTGCTTTCCAGTATGTAGTACACTGAATATTACTAGAGGCACAGTACAGTCTCGGTGAAAATTTGGAATTCATCATGTTAATCAGTCTTTTTCTGAATTTTCTCTTTTTGGTAACGTAGTTTATATGCACACAGCCAGACTGTCGTGCTTAGAAATTAGAAGTGCATTTGTTCATACATCTCATTTCCACCCTAGTTGCACAGTCTCAAACTAGATTATGGCTTCGACTGAGCAATGGAAGCAGCTGAATACCAAAGAAACAACAATAAAAAGAATGTTCTTTTGAAAACGAAAATCAAAAAAGAGAAAGAAATAAATAGATGAAATGATATATCAGCAGAATTATCCTTCCGTAAAAGGCTTTTCAATGCCCTCCTCCAGGCAACAGTGACTCCAAAGTTTACTGTTAATACGCTGCAGCTCCCCAGATGCAGCAGAACAAACCAGAAAGATACTGTTATAATTTCTTTTTTCAAATGCCATCTAATTAGTTGCTAAGAAATGCTTTCTGAAGAGGTTCTCACCAGTTGTTTCCTGAACCAGAAACATCTGTGATAAGCTGCTTGCTATCAAACACATCCCTCAGTGGTCCCTGCAGAATTTCATTTACCACACCCTCCTCCATGTCAATCAGCAGTGCCTTTGAGAAATGAAAGAATCAAAATTCAGTCAGTAAGCAAACTCTTCAAAAGAATCACATAAAGAAATACCCTTTTATATTGTAAATAATTTTATATGTTGTTTCTACTGTGCTCCAAAGAAAAGTTTTTTCCACTTGTTAACTAGGAGACCAACTAGATTCACCTTGGCTGATTTGTTAGAAGTCGTTCAAGGGGACAGCATTTCAGGTAATGCAGTTTTGTTAAAAATTTATAATATCCTGCTTCAATACTTAGGAGTAAAGAAATTAAAGCATTTTTATGTTTCAAATTTTCTTGCTTCTTAATCACTTAACGTGGCTCAAAACCCCCCAACTCCTTAGAAAATTCAAATAAAAACTTGGTTAATAATATCTGCAATCATTTTATTAAAATTAAAATTTAAATTACTCAGCCAGGCTGGCAGCAAACTGCATTACTCCACTGAACCATAAAAGTTACTATTAGAAATTTTACTATTCTATGTAGCATTTGAAAGCTTACGCAATTATAAGGACCTTATGAAAATTCCCACACAGTTGGACATAAATATGCAATGTAAAAACAATGACCTTTATATTGCCTTACTCGTGCTTTTAAAGAGCAGATTTTTCCTTTGTAAATATCAGGACCATCACCACCACTTCTGAAAAAAAAAAATCCAAGCTCAGAATCATAGTAGAAAATAAGGCAATATATATTAAATTCCCTCCTTAATTTTCTGTGCTCAGAGTACTGTTACAATGTACACAAACAGAAACACCCTGAACATACTGCTAAGAAAGACCTCATAATTCTCTGAAGTAATGCAATTACAGGACATGCTCTCAGTCAGAAATATCCTAAGTAGTACTTCAGGAAGCTGAAAAGAAAAGCATTGAAAGTTTACTCCCAGGTACAGCCTCTGTTCTGTGGTAATTCCACAAGCATTGCCAAAACTGGAAAGGATTATCTTTTATCCAGCACGTGGTACATCTGCATCATGCAATGGAACACAGCGCACCGAACAGCACCACTAGCTTTTACATGGGGGGTAGTACAGCACTGCACTACTGCTCAGGCTGTGAAAGCTCTGTAACCGCACTAGCACAGCACTGTGCTTGACTTATTTTGCCATTAAGATTCATCAGTTCAGAAATCATGCTGGGCTAACCTAGCTTAATTTTCCTTTTTTCCCAGGATTGGTTGTACTGAGCCAACCTAGGGGCCTATGCATTGTGTACAATCACATTTTTTCCCACGATGAATGCTGGTGCTTCCACACTCAAAGGATGAGATACTCTGGTCTAGCCAAACTATGTTTAACACAGCGAAATGAGGCAGGGATACTGGAAGACGATCTGAATTTTCCCTCAACTATTCACCTAATTTGGGGGCTGGTCAAGCCTAAATTTAAACTATCTCTTAGACTACTCTACATTTAACCACAAAATATTCCAAAACACCAGCTGAAATTCCCTACAGCATTAAAGGTTCTGACCATGCTCAGTCCCGTCAGGAATAAGGGAAACAGAGTATGGGGCTGCACTGGATTCCTCAAGCATCTTCAACCCTCTCACTGAAAGAAGCTTTCCAGACTCTTCTCATTAGCTAAGCAGCTTACAGCAGCCTCCAGTACTCATGTGATTACTCCAGCCTACACAACTCCCTATGCGAGTTCACTATAGCACCAGTAAATTCAGCTACAGATACTCTATTTCTCTTCAGGGACGAATAAAACTTAGAGGTGAAAAAAAAAATAAAAAATCAACATTTCTTTCTCTTACTATTGTCTTTGGGGTCCCTCATACCAGCCCATACTTTCAATCATTTGATTCAATTGCTAAAAAAAAAAAAAATAAATCACTGCATTCCCTAGAATACCCTAAGCTTAAAACACACATTTCTGTGTATAAAACCGTATGTTTCTTTAGTAATTTCATCCTATGACTATCAGTTCTTGTGGTTTGAATGCAACAGGCAAGATACTTGGGGTATAACATAAACTTCTATATTTAATAGACTGTTTTAGATACTTTGGGTAACTAAATTTACCACAAGAAAGCTCAGATATGAAAACTGTGTTACACAATTCTAACAGCGACGTCCTCATCAGCACACTTGATTGTTACATACATGTATTCACTATCCCTTGGGGTAATTATTTTGCCTGATTTAAGTTGCTTTTTATACTTATCACACAACCAGCTTGATTAAGATCCGGTAAAGTATTTTGCTTTTCAATCTGTTGGAGCAAGGAGGCCTTCTGGCCATTGCTGAACATAATTAGACAAAGGTTTCAGGTGTTCTTTTTCTTGAACACTCTAATCTCTAGTTTCTGGAAAACTGATACTAGCAGCAGCCTCTACCACAGAAGGTGCACGTTCTTGCAGCACAAAAGCAGATGCTTGTTACAAATAGGTAGTGTAGCTTTCAATCTTCAAACAGGTCCATGTGGGGCACCTCTAAGAGTGATGATCACCATGTTGATGAACTCTTGCAGACCGAAGCAATAAGCTTTTAAGCTCAGAAACCGCAACCCTTTACAACACGTGCCAGTAACTCAGGTTGCCAGCTAAGAGTCAGTGATTTATATTCCCTCATGGGAAAGAAAAAGGAATGGGAGAAGAATGCATAATGCAGTGATTGAAGTGTGAAGTCATTTCAGCCATCAGTTAAGTGTCAATTCTGACCAAGATTACAGATACAAATGCATTTTACCTGAAAAAAAAAAAAAAAGATAAAGCTGTCTTTCCATTATGCAGTTCACTTGCAACCAAAGTATCTCACCCCTGAGACCAGCAGCAGAGTTAAGAGCGTGAATATTCAGATCCCTCATTATTTTAGCAATAGGACTGTGAATTCCTCAATAGGTAGGTAAGAAAAGAGAGAATAAGCATAAGCACGTTGCCAATATTACACAGTATAATAATCACCATAACATAAGTCTGTCTGGTTGTGCCTGATTGTTTGTTCATAGCTGTTTCTGACAGGACAACCCACCTGGATTAATTATTTTGGAAAGTGGTATAGCATAGAACACTTGTCACTTTTGTGACATAAGGTTTTATGCCTGAACAACCTGGGAGGTGAATTAGTTTTTTCTGATAAAACTGAAACAAAACCCACAATAACAGGAGGCAAAAACCCCACAGCCCGAGCAACAGAGTCTGGAAATGACTCTCCCTAACCAAACTATGGCTCAATGCTACAGTAAGCAGTGGGAATTGTTTCAACAGGAAAATGAACAGCTCCTGGAAAAGAATAGAGTTGAATAAACACTCTTCTGTTTCACAGGTAAGAGAATATTCCTTGAAACTTCCACAGTATCCAGTGAGAGCAGCCCTTCCTCTTTATAGAGAGATGTTTATATTGCAGCCAACCTGTCAATTATAAATTCGGTGGTTTCATCTGGCACATACAGAAACACAGATATTGTTTACAACCAAATTTTTTTTTTATTAAAAAAACCAAGGTATTCTAGGAATTACCCACAAGGAATGGCAATGACACATTCCAATGCACTTGCATGTTCTTTCAAAGAGGTAAAATTTGAGACAAAACAAATAGTATTTCAACGCCATTTTGGTTAAAATTGCCTGCTGTGCTGCAGCCTTGTCATATGATGGAAGGAAACAGAGGCTGGTCAAATGCTTTTTAATGAATGAAAATGCAAGAGAAATATCCAAGTGCACAACTGTTATTCTTTTAAATAAACTGCAAGGATAAGAGATGACTGAATGCTCTTAAGGTATGAATTGGGTAACTGCAAAAAAAAAAAATCATAGCCACCACTCTGTGTAACAAACTAGTCAGATAAAAGTGATTTAAAAACAGACACTATATTTTCTGACCACCTTGTATACAATTCCTCTAACGACACTTCAGTAAATGCTGCTAAGCTGGTACTCAAGAGAGCCTGAAATCTGATCAGGATTGGCAATGGCAAAAGCTATCAGCTCTTGACTGTCCATTTTTCGAAGCGAGGAAAGAAAAACAAAACTAAACACTTTCAACACATTTAACTACTTAAGTAAGTATAGTAAAAATGGAAAGATAAAGATGGTGTTTTGAGGAGAACACAAAAAACCAAAATCTTTTTCTAGCACAAACTAAATATGACCTGAAACAATGAAAATTGTAATTTAGGTTAAGATGAGATACAACAATTGTGGATCTAATGTGTTAAACTCATGAGCTGCTTGATAAGTGGACTTACCTTGTATCTACGTTCCTAAAGAAACTGCTTAATGCTTCATCATAAATTCCTTTCTAAAAGTAAACAACATGACATAAGATGATGTGTAACATCAGAAATTCTCAGTGCTTTTTCACAGAATAATTTAGGTCCGAAGGGACCTCAAAAGGTCACCTGTGAAACCTCGCCACTCAAACCAGGGTGAACATCTATGTTGAATCCAACTAGCTCTAGCCAGCACTAAAAAGAACATTCTATGATTTCACTGAAGCATCAGCTTGACATTAAAAACTGATAGGAGGAGGTAACTAGGAAATTAATTTTTCACCACAAGATTAAACAACTACTTTTTCTTCATTTCTAAAGATTTAGGATTTTTCTGAAAATCCCAGGGCAATTATTAAATCGAATATCTGCTGTTTAGCTGACTCAGTTCATCACCGATGCAACTCTGGGACAGCTCGATGCCAATGATACCTATGTCCGTGAGGTTCTGTGGAAAGAAAAGCATGTCACACTGTATCCATGATTCCTAAACTCCCTGATGAGGGATGCTGGGGTAATTACTCATCCCACCGCAACGCTAAAGAGACCTGGAAAGTTTATATAATTTTAGAAACCGCTTACCATACTCCTAAAGACCTGTTGACACAGAATTTGGAAGTCACTGCTCCCTACAACACTAAAACCATGGGACTCGCCCTTTGCCTTTTTACAGCTGCTTCGGCAGAAGGCATTGAGAAGGACTGCTCGTCATTATCTGTTAACATACAGTGTTTCCCATCTTCATTGTCACGGCAAGCAGAGTGCATTTTCGTTCAGGGTACTCGGCACAATCCTGTGCCCTCTTCGTGCCGCTATTTCGGTCAGCACAACCGCACAGCGAGTCGCTGCACGGGATGCGCTAGCACAGAAAAGAAAGGCGGGCTTTGGGGCGCTGCTTTTTTGCTTTCTTGCTGGCGGCAAAGAACCTGCATTGAAGAACCCCCCCACACACACTTTTCACCAAGCACCTCAAACCTTGGTAAGGCCTGCCTGTAGGGAGACATCCTGGGCTCTTCACGGCGGAGAGGCCTGAGAAAGCCGCCCCGAATTAGAAGCGAGGAGCCAAACAGCACAAAA